TTATTTTTTAAATTTTATTGAATCACCGTGAGAAAGTTACAAGCTTTCATGCTTGTGTTACAATCACACAGTGATCAAACACCCATCCCTCCACCAGTGCACATTCCCCACCACCACTGTCCCCAGTATACCCCCCTTTCCCACCCTCACCCTGCCTCCATGACAGACAATATTCCCCATACTCTCACTCTACCTTTGGGCATTATGGTTTGCAATACAGACACTGAGAGGTTATCATATTTGGTCCTTTATCTACTTTCTGCACACATTTTCTATCCCGACCGATTCCTCCAGCCATCATTTTCTTAGTGATCCCTTCTCTATTCCAGCTGCCTTCTCCCCTTTGCTCATGAAGCAGGCTTCCAGCTAGTACCATACTTTCTTTATCCACTCATCTGTGGGCATTTGGGTTATTTCCTTATTTTGACTGTTGTATATAGTGCTTCAGTGAACACAGGAGTGCAGATGTCTTTTCTGATTTGTGCTTTTGGTTCCTGGGGGTTTTGGAGGGTAATGGGCACTGGTGAAGGGGGTTGGTGTTGGAATAATGTACGCCTATGACTCAGTCATAAATATCTTGTAACTTTGTAATTCACAGTGATTCAATAAAAGAAAATAAAAAGTGCTTCAAAGCTTCTTGGGAGCTCAGCTAGTTATGGGTCTCGTCTAGGGATGGTTGGGCTGTGCCGGGTGAACCTCATCTTCTGTTTTCTTCATTTTGTTCCTTTCCCCAGAGGAAAACTCCCATTTTCTCGCTTAGACTAACAGTCAAGTTCAGCGTTGCCGGCGTCAACCTGAGGCCAGAGGATGTAGAGCAGCCTCCTGTAGGACTGAGGTTCTTGCCCCGTCCCAGGATTCCACCTTGACTTTTTCCTCTTGCTTTCTCTCCAGACCTCACACTGGCCGGCTCCACCTTTAGCTGTTGTTGACACTCGTGAGTCAGTTCCCCGTGACCCTTTTTGATTAGCGCTGGAGGAAAGAAATGATCCACTGTGTAATTTGATGAGACTCTATAAGATCCCCCACACACTCCTTTTAGGAAGTTGTAACTCTCTAGTTGGAACTTCAGGATGCGAGGTGCCTCCTTCCCAAGTGTAGCAAACCCCATTCCTGGCTAAGACTTTCCGATTGCTCTGCTCCATGATTTATTTGCCCAGTGCTCATCTTCTTTCCCGCTCACAAAGTCTATTAATTGCCCTGCACTTTCTCTGTTTTCTTTCCTAGGCAATTTAAAGTCAGAAACCTCTCTTTTGCATTCACTTTGGTGGGCTTTCAGGAAGGAGAAGGTACATTAGGACCATCTCCAACATTCAGACTTTATACTCTCTCTCTCCTGCCATTAAGCCCTGAAATCATCATTCCATTCAGGCTATCAGGAGAGAGGACAGAATCCCCTTATTCAAGTACTCTCCTTTCCATTGGAGAGTTCCATAAAGGGAAGAGTTAGGGATTCCCTATTGTTGTCAGAATAAAGACCCTCTCTTAAGACTCTTTCAGCCCTAGTATTCTGTCTTTTTGTCTTTCCATTTTTTTTTTTTTTTTTTTTTTTTTGGGTCACACCCGGCGATGCTCAGGGGTTACTCCTGGCTCATGCACTCAGTAATTACTCCTGGCGGTGCTCGGGGGACCATATGGAATGCTGGGAATCGAACCTGTGTCGGCCATGTTGGCTGCGTGCAAGGCAAACGCCCTACCCGCTGTGCTATCGCTCCAGCCCTGTCTTTCCATTTTTGTTGGGAAAATGTTAAAACTTCGTTCTGTAATCACCAGAAGTAAGTTTCTGTGTCTGAGCCACCAGGCCAGATTTTATGGAAGTATTTAGGTTGGGGTGGTGGGGAGGTGGGGGAGGAGGAGAATGCTTCCCAAGTGGTGTTCAGAGGACCTGGAGGTTCACTTGTAGGAAGCTTCTGGGAGGCTCAGCCAATGGGCTGGGTGATTGATCGCAAAGGCCAGAGGGGGCAGTACTCAGGGATCACCAGGGTTCTATTGCCTTGGAGCAGGGTAGGGGGACAGTGAGGTACCAGGGATCAAACTGCATATTCTTTTACCCCATCCTATCTCTCCGGCCTGTAATTTAGGCAAGCTCCCCGTGACATATTCAGTATGCCAGAAACAGTAACAACAAGTCTCACAATGGAGACGTTACTGGTGCCCGCCCGAGCAAATCGATGAGCAATGGGAAGACAGTGCTACAGTGCTACAGTTATGAATAATTTGCTGAAAATGATCAGAAAAGGTTTCCTTGGAAGAAAGTGTGTGAAGATTGTTGTATCTCATCCGGAGCCAATAAGCCCTTGTATAAGAGATTGCTAATGTATTATTACAGGTTAAGCCTTGTGTGTTAATGTTTTCTTAATCGAGATTGGTTATGTTTTCCTTTCCATCCCATCCAAGTGGTGTGCTACTCCTAGTATATCAGTGGTGTAGAATTTGAGAAGTCCAGGAATTCCAATTTTTTTTTTTTTGCTTTTGGGGTCACACCTGGCGATGCTCAGGGGTTACTCCTGGCTCGTGCACTCAGGAATCACTCCTGGCGGTGCTCGGGGGACCATATGGGATGCTGGGAATCGAACCTGTGTCGGCCATGTTGGCTGCATGCAAGGCAAACGCCCTACCCGCTGTGCTATCGCTCCAGCCCCAGGAATTCCAAATTTTTGAATGGGGCAATAGAGCTGGAGTTAAAGTTTTAACTGGATGGTGATTTTGGAGTCTGAAGCATCTCTGCCGCTTGTTGATCTCTTTTGAGATTTATTTGTGAGTCCCTGGATCAGGGGAAGTTAATGAGCTTAGATGTAGCCAGAGGCCATGGTGTGTGACTGCCACAGGTGTGACTGCCAGGCTACCGAAGAACAGGGAAGTTGGGGGAGGTTGCCCATCCCTAACTCCATGAGAGCCTGGAAATTTCGGTCACAAAACCCACATACCTGAGTTTTTCATCAGATTCATTCCTGGATGAAACTTGTCCCGGGTCGGTGGAGGCTGGCCGTGAGTGTGGCAGTGATGGTGGAGTGTGGAGGTTTTCAGCTGCCGGGGCTCTGTTTAGGTGGGTGGTGGGCTCACCCACCCTGCACTGGGGTGCCCTGGCTGGACACTCAGCCTGGCATGGGCTCCGGAAGCCTCTCCGCAGCTTGTTGATCTCTTTCGAGATTTATTGATGAGTCTCCGGATCATGGCTGGTTAATTTAGATTTTAAATGGCCAGTGACATACAGGGTTCCAGCATCTTTGGGGATGTTCATATGAAGGGCAGCCTGGATTTTTCAGGCACCCTGTGTTGCTGAAGCGCCTCATCAGATGTCACACCTGAGACATATTCAGGCCGATTCGCCGCAAAACAAAACTGTGTGCACACATCAAATTCGCATGCAAATAAAAATACATGTTACGCTTTGTCAAAATTCCTTGAAAATGACTGGTGGGTTGTGAGAAGTTGCAGTGCTGTTTCTATCTCCATGCTGTAAGCATCAACTAGTTTGCATTTGGGCAGAGACTGGAAATGTGCTTCCAACATCCCCGATGCTCGCTCCCTGTCTGTTCCTCTCTTCCTGCCTCTTGTTTTGTCAAGGCACACCAGCATCAGGCCACCGCTGTATGCAGGTCTGCGAGAACACTGCAGACCGCCTAAGTCAGTGTTCGAATTTCAAACTGCAAGGCAGAAATAATCATTGGCCCATCCTCAAGCCTTTTATTTCAAGGGTATCTTTTTTTTAAAAATTTTTATTAGTGAGGTACAGTTGTAGACCTACAAATCTCTGCACTTGGGTTTCAACTACACAATGATCAAATACCCATCCCTCCACCAGTGCCCATTTTCCACCACCACGAGTCCCAGTATCCCTCCCACCCCCCATCCCACCCTGCCTCTGTGGCAAGGCATTCCCTTTTGTTCTCTCCTTTTGGTGTTGTGGTTTGCAAAAGAGGCATTGAGTGGCAATCATGTTTGGTCTATAGTCTACCTTCAGCCTGCTTCTCCCATCCTGGGAGGATCCTCCCGACACCCTTTATTTGGTGCTCCCTTCTCTATCTGAGCTCCCTTTTCCCCTAGCATGTGTGGCTGGCCTCCAAGCCATGGAGCAAACCTCCAGATACTAATCTTGGCCACTCTTGGGTGTTAGTCTCCTATTTTGTTACTTTTTGTTCCCCAGATGAATGCAATCTTTCTATGTCTATTCCTCTCTTTCTTACTCATTTTGCTTAGCATGATACTTTCCATGTATCATGTAAAGTATGTAGTACCACTTGTATGTAAACTTCATGACTTCATGAAATTTTTCTAACAGTTACATAGTACTCCATTGTGTACCAAAGTTTCTTTAACCAGCCATCTGTTTTCGGGCACTCAGTTTTTTTCCGGATTCTGGCTATTGTGAAGAGTGCTGCCCTGATGGATACGGATGCGAAGATTCTCAACAAAATACTAGCAAATAGAATTCAACAACTCATTAAAAAGATCATACACCATGATCAAGGGTATCTTTGAATGTGCTGTTTTCTTGAAAATGGCCGGACTTTCCATTTTAGTCTGTCAGGATGAATGCCCTGCCCCTTGGTTGGAAGCCTTAGTTGATGTTCCGGTTCTAGCTGGATCGCCCAAATGACCAGTCCCCCACTCAGGACAGACGAAGGCAGGCCGCCAGGGAGCTGTCGTGTGGATTCCCAAGTCAGTCGGTTCCTTGGCGACACATCGCCTGCTGTCTGCTCCTTTGTATTTCTGTGGTGATCTCTCCCCTGTGTCATTTTGTTTTCAGATCCACTCAGAGGTCGGGTGAGGGGGTCAATCTCTCATTTGAGGGGGCGAGGGACGGGGGAAGATGTTGCTCCAGGAGGCGGTGCGGCCCCTAGGGGAGCTTGTCGGGAGCAGGGTGCGGGTTTTGCGAGCAGACAGACTGGCCAGGGACCCGAGTGCAGGGGCGCCAGCGGTGGAGAGCTCTGAGCTTGCGTGAGGGGGTGGAGGCTGGGGTGTCTGCGCCCTGACCCAGGGTGGAATCTGTCTCCCTGCAGGTGAAGGAGAACCTGCTCTCATGCAAGATGCTCCTGCACTGCAAGCGGGACGAGCTCCGGAAGCTGTGGATCGAAGGGATCGAGCACAAGCACGTCCTGAACCTGCTGGATGAAATCGAGAACATCAAGCAGGTGCCCCAGAAGCTGGAGCAGTGCATGGCCAGCAAGCACTACCTCAGCGCCACCGACATGCTGGTAAGAGTGCCGCCTCCCCTTGCCCTTGCCCTCGGCGTGCCCGAGTTCATGTCTCTGCCACTCGTGGTCTCTCTGGGTCTCTGAACCCCTTGCTGGTGGACTCTGGGCTGATGCCCAAATTCTGCGTTTAAAACGGATGACAGTATTTAAGTATTGTCTGCCTTTGGTAGGAAGGCAAGTAATCTAGGGGCCAGAGTGATAGCACAGTGGTTAGGGCATTTGCCTTGCACGTGGCTAACCCGGCTTCTATCCCCAGCATCCTGTAGGTCTCCTGAGCACCATCAGGAGTAATTCCTGAGTGCAGAGCCAGGAATAGCCCCTGAGTATCGTCAGAAAATAACCAAGCCCCACCCACCCCCAAAAAAGTCAAGAAGTATAGTGGTAACAAACCAGTATTCAAGTTGTATTGAGAGGTGAAGGTAATGAGAGGTGGCTTTGGTTTCTCATTTCTTTTGGGCCATGCCCGGCAGTGTTGGAGGGTTGGTGGGGCCATGAGGTGTCAGGGATGGAACCCCAGCCTCCCCTTATGCAGAACATGTACTTGCTGCCCTTTAAGCTGTCTTTGACGTGTTTGCTAAGCTCCCAAGGAAGAATGGTTAATGAATTCTCTTTCAAAGAATACAGTCTGCCTGAGAGAGAACTTTTGGGAGATGATAGACTTGATATTCCACAAACTCTCCGGAGGAATTTTTGTAGCAGCGCTTTATTTTCTCCTTCATGCTGATAAGAAAGACAGTGATTGGGGCGGGGTGGCTCTGGAAGGAAGGAGAAGTATCCGGTCAGCTTCTTTCCTTGCCCATCGTGTCCTGCTGCCTTTGGAAATAGGAATGAAAATGCAAACAAGGTTGTAGTGGGTGACTCTGTGTCAAGGGATTTTAAAAAAAGAGAAAATTCAGGCTGGAGCTATAGCACAGCGGGTAGGGCGTTTGCCTTGCACACAGCCGACCTAGGTTCAATTCCCAGCATCCCATATGGTCCCTCAAGCACTGCCAGGAGTAACTCCCGAGCATTGCCGGGAGTGACCCAAAAAGAAAAAAAAAGAGAGAAAATTGGCCTCTTGCTCGCTAAAGCTGGGGCTGGGTGCTCTGAGACAGAGGGGATGGCTCTAGCTGCCCCTCTCCCTTCTACACATACATCCCCCCTTTCAGTCTTACTCAGAGTTGACTACAGAAGCTCTCAGGGACTTACCTATGCATTTTCCTTTCCATAATAGCTAAGGAGGCCTCTTGACTTTGTCTCGCCAAATGGGATTGGCTGTAACACAGGCAACAAACCTGGAGAGGACTTGTGGGGGCTCAGGAAAGAGGATAAGACCTGACGTGGTTCTAATTCATTCATAACTTCAAGAAGATTTTGCTGGGAAGCTTTTCAGGAAACTTGGAAATAAGGAGATGAGGTGTGTCATGAAGTGCCGTCATGTACGTAGGCAGGCATGGTTAGGCCAAGAGTCCATTTCTCTAGAGCAGGAGATGTGGTACCATTTTTCTGCCAAGGCCATTGGAATGTTTATAGCATCATTCCAGGCTATACAGTGCTGGCAGACATGTGTATCAGAGCCAGACCTTATGATCTTATGGGTCTTCTATGGCCAGTGGGTCAGATGTTTCCCACAGTGATCTAAGGGAAGGAGCTTAGTAATGGTTTTTGCTTAAAATTAGCAGAAGAGCTGGCTATTTTCAATGTGTCATTCATAGTGACATCTTCCTTAATGACAGTATGGGTGTTCAACATAAATAAGTTTGTCATCTTTCAGCATTTGTTTGTTTCAGCATTAAGAATGTCTGCACATGGGGGGCCAGAGCGATAGTGCAGCGGGTAGGACTTCTGCTTTTAATGCCACTGATCGAGTCGTTGACCCACTGACTGACAAACCACTCTGGGTTCAATCCCTGGCATTCCATGTTGTTCCCTGAGGCCAGGAGTGATCCCCTGGGCACCTTGCCAGGAGAAAACCCAGAGTACAGCCAGGTGGAGCCCCCAAACCATCAAACAAAAAGAATTTATGCACATGCTAAGTTGTCAAGTTATCAAGACCCAATAATTCAAATAGACACACACACACACACACATATATACATATATATATATACATATATATTTGTGCAGCATATGCGCATCTCTGAATCATGATTTCTTTCAGAAGACCAGCATTTAACTAGTGCCACATATTTAAAAAAAATAGGTTATTTTTTCTTGAAGATCTCATTAAATGCAACTTGAAATTCTGGGTTGCAAGCAGTTCAGCTCTAACTTAGGTTTAACCACTGCATTATTCATCATGTTACCTGTATGTTCATTCCTCATGCATTCTTCATCGTAGACGTTTTCCATTCACGCGTGGGCGGGTTTGGAACTGCGGAGAGTAGGGGAGCAGGCTCTAGTCTCTGTGTTTCAGGTGGAAGAGTCACGAAGAATCTTGTGTGGTGAGATTCTTCATTTCAGCTGAAGAATCTGGCAGTGGTGAGCAGGGATGTGGATCCATGGAGACTGCATGCCTCCTGTATCCTGCCCTTGGCATCCCCCTACCCCCTAATATGGAGTCTCACCTTTATTCTGCCAGCCTAGGTGCTGTGTTCACCTAATGAATTGTGTAGTTGGGAAGGGGTGGTGGGGAAAGAATGGACACCTTCGATGATGAGATGCATTTTCTAGACGTTTCTTCTATTTGTGGTTGATAGCACAGCAGGTAGGGCATTTGCCTTGCACGCAGCCAACATGGCAGATCGGAATTCGATTCCTTCGCCCCTCTTGGAGAGCCCGGCAAGCTACCGAGAGTATCTCGCCCGCACGGCAAAGCCTGGTAAGCTCCCCGTGATGTATTCGATATGCCAAACACAGTAACAAGAAAGTCTCTCGATGGAGACCTTACTGGGCCCGCTCGAGCAAATCGATGAACAACGGGAGGACAGTGACAGTGACATATTCCGAATATTAGTCTTTCGTTAGTGTATTGTAAGTACCTTTTCTCAGTTTATGGTTTATCTTTTTACTTTGTTGATAGGAAATTTTTTTTTTTTGTTATAAAGCCTTAAAATGGTAAACCAATAATTTCACAGTGCTTTTCTTTTGTTATTTCAATCTTAAAGAATTCATTTCCAGAGTAAGAATGCTAACTGCTTCTGTGATTTATCCACTGAGAATCTTTATATGTGGTATAAACTTGGAGTCCAATTTTAATCTCCAGTTTTAATCTTGCTATTTACCCATCTACTTGTCTCAGATCATTTTTGAACCAGTTTCCTGCTGCTTGCACGATGCCATCTTGCTCACCTAACACTTTTCATAAATGCATGACTGGTCTGTTTCTGAGCTCTTTATTTTGGTGAGTTGTTCTCCTTTGTATCTGCACCAAAGCCTTGTTCTTTCAATCACTGTCACTTTGTAATATATCTTGATAGCCCCGTGACGTATTCGATATGCCAGACACAGTAACAACAAAGTCTCCAATTGAGACGTTACTGGGCCCGCTCGAGCAAATCGATGATCAACGGGAGGGCCTTTTTACTTTTAGCAGGTGAAAAAACTCCGCACTTGCTTCTCAACCAGTCTTCGCCCTTTGCTTCTCCAGACGTATTTCAGTATCAACTTGTTAAGTTCCATCAAAACTGTGATGAGGTTTTGATTAAATTTATGAGCACTTCATCCTTGGGATCCTGAATGTTTAGGTGAACAGGCTGTGTCCCTTTTATTGATGTCTTTATATGTGTGTGTGTGTGTGTATATATATATATATATATATAAGTGAAGAACTTTGTGGTGATAGTAATATATTCTGTAGAGGTACTAGATGAATTTTATTTTGTTAAATATATTTCTGGTTGTCACTATTTTGTTTTTTAAAACTGTAGTTTTTAGGGGCTGGACCAGTAGCACAGCTGGTATAGCATTTGCCTTGCATGCGGCTGACCCGGGTTCGATTCCCAGCATCCCATATCGTCCCCTGAGCACTGCCAGGAGTAATTCCTGAGTGCATGAACCAGGAGTAACTCCTGTGCATCGCTGGGTGTGACCCCAAAAAAGCCAAAAAAAAAAAAAACCCCAAAACAAGCAACAACAACAACAAAAACCCTGTAGTTTTTAGTTTGTTTTGTTTTGGGGGGTCACACCTGGTTGTGTTCAGGGATCACTTCTGACAGGCTCAGGGGACCACATGGGCTCCCAGGGTTTGAACCTGGGTCTGAACACCTTACCCACTGTACTATTTCTCAAGTCTCTAAAAATGTAGTTTTTGATTTAATTTTCTAGCCATTTGTTGCAGGCATATTGCGAAATAATAGGGTTTTTGTTTTAAATTGACGTTATAGTCCCTGAACCAAACCCAATCCCATCTACCTTGAAAAGTTTCCTTTTACACCTAGCTGGTATTTCTTCAAGTCCCTGAAAGTCCCACATAGTTGGATGTTTCTCTCTCCCTTTTAAATAATGTAATTTTTCTTGTGATTAGAATACTTGAAGCATTGGGGAGCTGGTTAGGGATTAGCGTGCACCTGATCAGGGTTTGATCCTTGGTACCACATGGCCTCCCAAGCATCACTGAATGTCACTCTGGAGGCTCCGGAGCACTTCCTAGGGCTCCAGTGCTCTCCAGCACCACCAAGCTAGAGCAGCATCACACTCAGCTATCAGCCTGATTGGCTGAGTATAACCATGAGGAACCCTGGACCCCCTCTGAGCATCGCTTGACACCACCCCCACCACCCCCAACAGAATCAAATCCTTGAGCAGATACTTTTCTTTTGTTTTTGCAAGTGGCATGTGCTGGTTGTGACAGACTTGCTGTGGTTTGTGTGCAGGATTCTCCCTGAGCTATTCTGTTTTGCCTCATGTCCAACACGGTGCTCAGCACTGTGTACCTCCTACAGTTGGAATCCATAGACCATTGGCCGCAGGGAGACCCTGGAAATGGGTTTCCTGCTTCTAAAACAGAGAAATAGGCAAATCCTCCATCGGACTAATTCCCCCCCCCCACCCCCTGCAGTGGAAAGATTCGCTGGTTTCTA